GTAATGTTTTATACATAGAGATATTGTTCTTGTTTATCCTTTTTTTTTTCATCAGCTGCAGAATCTATGTCGTCATCCATGTCTTACTCTTACCTTCTTCGTTCTTCATAAAATTGTCTTTAATTTAATCTTTCGTTGTATTAAGGGATTGTATCTTCTCTTCTGTGCTTTCCGTTGTATTATCGATTTCTTTGAGTTTTCTCTTTATTGCTTTTATAACTATTTCTTTTACTTCATTATATTTCAGTTTTCTTATGTCATGTTTTGTTACAGTTTTTCCGCGTGATTTCTTTAACTTAGTCTAGGTGGTAGTTTGTAAAATGTGTTTAGCACGATTAAGTTATTTTCAGCTACAAAGATATTTTAATGGAATAAAGTTTCAAGTCTATTCTGATTCGGCAACGTGGCGCGGAGTTGAAGATTTTTGTTTTATTTTCTGTCTGCGATAAACCCGAAATTCGAGAGTTGCAACGGGAAATAATTCAATACGTTGTAGTGAGAATTGAGATAACTGAATAAGGTAACAACTGTGCAAAAATAAACACCGAAAACTGCAAAAAAAACAATAACAAAGTGAATAATCGGATAAGGGAAAAAAGCGAGGTTAACTGATAAGAACTAACACTGGGAAGGAAGCTACGTTTAATTGAATTGCGACGTTGCCAATGTGTGCAAAGTTTCGTGTTTGCCACGGAATACAAAATTAGTCGAGACTTCGAATAGGGGATTCAACAGGAAGTGGTAGATACTGTTTCTTCCGAGCTGTTGAAGCGAGAGATAGTGTCTGGCGCCAATCAGAGTTGAAAGTAATCCGCGAAGTGAAAAAAAAAAAAAACGAAAAGCATACAAGGATGGAAAAATATCTACAAGGTAAAACGTATATGGACAGTGACGATACAACAACAGATGAAGGAGCAAAAAGAAAGAATAGAGGAGAGGATGATGAGCAAGAGGAAGAGAGATCCAGAAAAAATAAAAAACTAACAAGAACCCCTCAGAAGACAGGAGGAAAAGAGGATGGAGCAAAACTTGATAAATTGCTAGAAATGATGAGCAACCTAACCAGCGACATTAGACAAATAAAAGAAGACCAAAAGGAATACAAGGAGGTAGTTGAACATCTAATAAGGGAAAACAAGGAACTAAAGAATGATAATAAAATTCTAAAAGAGGAAAACATACAGATTAAGAAAGAATTAAGGGAAATACGAGACAACATAGAAATTATAGAAAAACAGAGAAGGCGAAATAATGTGGTAATGAACGGGCTAGCAATTGATACGCAGGATCAGCTGGTATTGAAGAAAGCAATTGGCAATTTTATAAAAGATCACCTTGCAGTAGAGGCCAAAATAAAGACGGCCCACAAACTAGGTCCAAAAACGTGCCTAATTGAAATGGAGAACCAACAAGAAAAGATAAAAGTTATGAAGAATAAAGCAAAGTTAAAGGACGTCAAAAAGGAAAAGGTATACATCAACGATGACACAACGGTGAGAGAGAGAGAAATTCAAAAAATAATAAGAAAAATTGCACAAGAGGAAAGAAACAAAGGAAACGAAGTCAAAATAGGAGCAAGGAAAATGATGATAAATGGTGTTGAATGGAAGTGGAATAGCAAGGAAGATAAAATGGAAATAACAAACTCAAAAAACTAGAAAACGGCTATGATAGTAAAAATACGAAGACGAACAACGCAAGGAACAAGGACATGAATACCGGTAACATTGTCATAGGAAAGGGTGATTTAAAGATAAAAAATACAAAAAAAGACAATAGAAACACATATCCAAAAGATCACTTAATGGTAGGAACGTGGAACGTAAGGGGTACTTTTGAGGAAGGAAAACTGAAACACTTAACTAAAGAAATTGAAAAGTTTAAATTTGACGTAGTGGCACTACAAGAAACAAAGCAACTGGGTCAGGAAATGCTGGAAATTGAAAATAGCTTATTTTTTAATAGTGGAGGCAGAAACAGAATATTAGGCACAGGATTTTTGGTAAATAAAGCGTTAAAAGCATCAATTGTAGAGTTTAAACCAATATCTGATCGTCTATGTTGTCTAAGAATAAGAGGAAAATATCAAAAAATCACATTCATTAACATTCACTCACCGTCAGAAGAAAAAGATATTGAAGTAAAAGAGGATTTCTACTGTGAAGTTAATAGGGTATTTGAAAGTATTCCAAGATATGACATTAAAGTAGTACTGGGGGACGCAAATGCAAAGATAGGAAAAGAAGAAATATATAGAACAACTATAGGAAAATTTAGCAAACACGAAGAAACTAATGAGAACGGGCAGTTTTTGATAGATTTTGCCAAAGAAAAAAATATGCTAATAATGAGTACATATTTCGAGAGAAAAAGCATCTACAAAGCAACATGGCGATCCCCAGATGGAAAAACATTAAATCAAATTGACCATGTACTAATAGAGAGAGAAGACCGAAAATGTATAAAGAACGTGCGAACATACAGAGGACCAGACGCTGACTCGGATCACTTCATGTTAGGAATTAAAATGGCTCAACTGATACCGGAAGAAAAAAATCGCAAAAGAAAAAATAAGAACACAAATAAACCAGTGCGGCTTGTAACGCAAGAAGAACAAGAAATGTATAGAAAAGGTATCGATAGAAAATTAAATGAAATACACCTAGAAGGGCACATAGACAAGGACTGGGACAAAATTCAGCAGATTATCAGTAACACAGCTAAAGAATGCAATAAATATATAACTAAAAAGAAAAAGGATTGGTTTGACGAAGAATGCCAGAAGGAAATTGAAGAAAGAAGTAAACTAAGGATGGATATGATCAAAAGTGATACGGAAGAAACAAGAAACAGATATGAAAAACAAAGAAAAATCGTAAAAAAAGTTTTGAGAATGAAAAAGAGAAAGTACATGGAAAATCAGCTGAAAGAAATAGAAGAAAATTACAAAAATAGAGAAATTAGAAATTTATACCAGGGAGTAAAAAATGAAAAAAGAGGATACCAACAAAAAACAATATTTTACAAAGATAAAGAGGGAAACGCCATTAGTGGAGAAAATGAAATAGCCGCTAGATGGAAAGAATACTTCGATGAATTGCTAAATGACGAAAACAGGATAGAACAGCAACAGCCTATAAGAACGGAGAAACATAGGAACCAAATAAATGAGACAGAAGAAACACCCCCTACCAGAAACGAGATAAAGGAAATAATAAAGAAATTAAAAAATAACAAGAGTCCAGGAAGTGATAATATAACTGCAGAGATGTTCAAATATGGAGGGAAAACGCTAGAGGAGCAAATGTTCAAATTAATAAAGGAGATTTGGATTAAAGAACAACTACCACAAGAATGGACAGATGCAATTATATGCCCACTTTATAAGAAAGGCGATAGGACAGATTGTCAAAATTACAGAGGGATATCACTATTGAATACTGCATACAAAATTCTTGCAGCGTGTATAAAGGACAAATTGGCAGGAGTGATAGAAAACATTGTCGGCGAGTACCAATGTGGCTTCAGACCTGGTAGAAGTACAATAGATCAGATATTTACGCTCAGAGAATTGCAAGCGGAAAGTTATCAACACAATCTGCCGACAAGGGTCCTCTTCATTGATTTCAAACAAGCGTACGATAGAATAAAACGGAACCAAATGAGCAAAGCACTAGAAGAATTGGGTATCAGTAGAAAACTTATAAGAATGATACAAATAACGTTGTCCAAGACTGAGAGCAGAGTTAAAATAAATAATATAATGTCGGAAAAATTTGAAGTCAGTGAAGGAGTAAGGCAAGGAGATCCCCTATCATCGATACTATTCAGCTTGTGTTTGGAGAAGGTCATACGAGATGCAAATGTCAACAGAGAGGGATTGTTATACCAAAGAAAGCACCAATGTCTAGCCTTTGCAGACGATGTAGTAATACTGGCTCGAAGCAAATGGGAGCTACAAGAAGTAGTAAAGAGGCTAGATAGAGAGGCAAAGAAAATAGGCTTAACCATCAACGAAAGTAAGACAAAATACATGGAATGGATAGATGACAGTGAACAAAAAGGAGGAAATCTAAAAATAGAAGTAGAGGGTGAAAAAGCATATATATTTGAAGCAGTGGAAAGATTTACATACCTGGGGTCGATGTTCACATGCAAACCAAATATTAGAGAGGAGCTCCAATCAAGAATAATGGCAGGAAACCGATGCGTATACTCCTTAAACAGGCTATTAAAAAGTAAACAGATATCTAGGAATGCCAAAATAAGGATTTACAAAACAGTTATACAACCAGTGGTAACCTACGCCAGTGAAGTGTGGACACTGAACAAAGGCGAAACAGGTATGCTCGAAATATGGGAAAGAAAGGTTTTGAGAAAGATATTTGGAGGCAAGATAGTAGACAATACATGGAAAAGAAGAACAAATAAAGAATTAGAAGATATGTACAAGAATCCTAGTATAGTGGGAGTAGTAAAGGCTCAGAGACTCAGGTGGCTAGGGCACATAGAAAGAATGACAAATTCTCGAGTACCAAAAATGATTCTGATGCATACAATGGGTACAAAAAAAAGAAGAGGAAGGCCGAGAAGTAGATGGAAGCAAGAAGTAGAGAAAGACCTAGAAACACTGGGAATAGAAAGATGGAAGGACAAGGCTAATAATAGGAAGAAATGGAAAACAATAACAGCTCAAGCCATGGGCCTACTAGGCTCGTAGTGCTATTATATATATATATATATATATATATATATATATATATATATATATATATATATATAAAGTTTCAAGAGAAAAGTGAATGAAGTTTCAACCGTGAAGTTTCTTAAGTGTGAATATGAAATATGAAAATATCGAATACAATTAATTGTATCTACATAATTTTTCTACAGAGAACGGTGTCGCTACTTCTCTCTCACCAGCTGTCAATGGTTATATTATATTATAAAAATATAGAATTTTAAATAAGAGTTGTTTTAAATACACAATAACTTTTTAGTTTTTCTAGATCGATGGTATCTTCTTTGTCTGTTGGGTATTCATTTACGAAAAACCAACAATATAGTAGTAGATTATATAATGCAAATATTCCTCCGCTGGAAGAGGCTATTAAAATGACACAAGAATCAAAATCAGTTATAGAAGAAGCTGTTGACGAGCTACTACCTGGTGTAGAATTTTCGGACATCACAACAGAGGACGATATCTCGATTGGTGAGAAAAAATTTTTGAAACCTTCATATTTCTCAACTGATCTTTTTCTAATAATAGCAATATAGAATAAATATTTTTATTTAGTCTTAAAAGAGAAACAACACCACCCAATGAAATAGTTGATACATGAATAACAAAGCATAAAAGTAGGTTACATGTCAAACCAGTTTATTGTAAAGACAAAAAAATAAAATAGTTAATAGAGAAGGACCAAAAACAAAGAAATAACCATTAGACTTACTCACAATTAGTATTGTACCTTAGAAGACCCGTTTCGAACACTGAATTTTGCTGTTCATCATCAGGTCTCCGGAAAACTATCTTAAATGCTAAAAATGTAAATTGCTACTATTAGAATTCTGTCAGGTATGCTATAAATTATGCCAATAGTCTGTATGCATAATTTTAAATAATACATGACGTATAGAGTATTTGACAACTAAATACATATTTTTAGTAACTGAGTGTAGAAACACACTCACGAATTTGAGCTTTTTAATTTAAACGAATCAGCATTTGATTAATAGTTTATTTATTCTAATATATATAATATTCTTTTTTCCTAGACGTTGGTGGGGGTGAAGAATCGGACTCTATATTAAAACGAAGATCAGTAATGGTAAAAAAAAGGTTAATGATGAAAGACCTTAAAGATAGAACATTATGCCAGTTTCACCACCCTTTAGTTATCAGCCGTATATATGTGATAAAAGCTCTAAACGAATTTATAGAATTCTATCACCAAAAGTCGAATCCAATTCCAACCACAGGTAAAATAATATGTGTCGTAAATTAGAAATTATCTTAAACAATTATGTCAAAAAACAACTAAAAACGAAACACTATAAGAGTTTGCTTATTTTTACTTTAATATGATATACAGTTTCGGCTACACTAGTTCCATATTTCTAGAAGTTCTTATCTTGGATGTTTTAATACCACTATTATTTTTTACCATTTTGTATCATCTCTCTTTGCTACTCAGCTATGTTTCGCTCAGATGCTGATTATTACTCGATATTTCGATTTACCGCTGTTCATTTCCATGAACACGTTCCCAGGCAGAACCTCTTAACTTTTAATTTCTTTCAATGTTACCCGTCTCAGCATGTCCTCTGAGATGGGGAACAAACGTGAAAGCTTGACGAACTACATTTCGCAGGTTCTTATTCGAAACATATCTTCGTTTCCTAACCTCATCTTTTATGACATTCCACAGTGTATTGTCCAGCGTTGTCAAATATGAGCTTCTTAGAGGCCAATACATTGGTGTAGGATAGTTTGGAGAACTGTCCTACTTGCTGATTGAACCACTCGTTGATCATATGCAGATAAGTGTGCTGAGTTACGAATCCTTTAAAAAATATGGCCTAAGCTACATTGAAGTGATTACAACCCATATCATGACATGAGGCTGTCCATTTCTTCAAATAAATGAGGGTTGTCAAGAATAGAACATTTTGTTGGAAACATGCTCTCGTAAATCGTTGAATCGCATTAACAGGTAATGGCCAAAAAGCCTTCACTTTTAAATTCTTTTAAAACAGCAAAGTTGGTTTGCAAGCCAGATTATTATTTTTCGTCCTGGGGCCCTTTTTCCTTCAGTCTTACCTTGAAAAATGCATAGAAGTAACTCATATTTGCCTTGATTTCTCAGTGTATGTCCTAGGTACTGCAGCTTGCGGTCCTTCATGATGTTGACCGATGTTCTTCATTGGTGACTTTGTCCAGGGTATCTTCAGGATCCTTCTGGATAATCATAGCTCAAAAAGCCTGTAGTTTAGAGTTTCTACCTTTAATGTCCACGTTTCTACTCCTTACAGAATCACTTATTACACGTAAGATTTAAGAAGCCTTATTTTAGTTTCTAGGGTGAGGTCATGGCTCTTGAACACAAAGCTCATAGTTAAGAATGCACTTTTTGCCTTTCCGAAGCGACATTTAATCTCTTGGGTATTGTCGCATAACTCTTCAAAAACTTTTGCTTCCTTTTTTCTGGGCAATGGTACGAACTCCGATTTGAGCCACTCTACTAATATTTTTCCTGCCTTGTATATTTCATTAAGGCTGTTTTATCGGTGCACCAAAATTTTTTCTCTGTTATTTACCGACAAAATGCCTCGAAATTTGGACATGTTATTCAAAACTATGTTGCCTTTAAAATGATGGTTTTACTTTTTTATTTTTTTGAATTTTCTGTTGAAAAATTGGATTAAACTGTTTAACGTTCTATTATAACCAAACTTTTCACGCCCATCAGTTGAAAGAGTTTTTTTTCTGTAATCGTTGATTCTTTTTTCACCTTTCTGTGTTCAGTAATAAACGAGAAAAGCGTATTCAAACTTTGCAGAAAATTACTAAAAAATACTGAAATCTAATAGTGAAACGTGTTCCTCATCATTGTCGCTTAGCTTGATCGTTATCGCATTAGTGTCGTCAAATCTCATGAACGTACGGTAGGGTCAGTTAGTTCGCTTAGATCACAATCCATTTTAGTTCTTTCATTCTTGTATTTTCTTTATCAACTTGTTTAGTTTTTACAGTTTACAGTATTCTTATTTATTTTGAAAACATTGAAATTATTTAGTTTACGGGTATGTTTAAGTAATATATTATTAGTTTAGTGGTATAAGTTAAAAGTTCTTTAGTTTACGCGTATTTTTAAGTATTACATTAGGTTAGTGATATAAGTTATAAGAGACAAGATAAAAAATGAGTCCCAGTAAACGTCCTAGGTCAAGGAAAAGGAGAGCAATTGCACTATAGTAAGTATTTATTATTTATATATTTACAACCATATATATATATATATATATATATATATATATATATATATATATATATGTCTTTTGACTATATGACTTTTAAATGTCAAATGTGCAATATTGAAAAGGAGATAGCAACATAGGATTTTGGTAACAATTCACTGAACTTGAATGGTTCTGGTTATTCAGACATACAGCAGCAGCACGCTGCATTAAATATACCTGTGATGTCCTACAGACAGTATGCAAAACATACGGAGACAGTTGCAGATATCATCGGCCAAACACTTTGTGATTCCACAGAAGAGGCTGGACGGGAGGAATTAGCTTTAGCCAAAGAAATTAGTGAAGTAGATTCCGAAGGAAATGGGTTAATAACCGTTATAGCTGATTGTGCTTGGTTACAAAGATCGCATAAAGTAAACTACGATGCTTCTTCAGGTGTAGTACCTGACGTTGTAAAATTTATTAAATTAGTACACCTTTAATGGATATGACATGTAATTAGACGAGATGAAGATGAAACGATCAGAAAAATTTTCGACTGAAGAGGACCAGTGGGAAGACGATCCAGAGGAAGAACAAAACTTAGGTATCAAGATATCATAGAGGATGATCTAAAATCCATCGGATTTAGAGCTTGGAGAAGAGGTGCCAAAGACAGGGGCGAATGGAAGATTGTTCTGAAGAAGGCTTTGGCTCATGACGAGCTGTAATGCCACTGATGATGATGAAATAACTATCCACGATTTGTGTTTTATTCATAAATTGGATACTTTTCTTATGTAACTGCAATCTATAAATAATAAAATAATGTAGATTATATTCAGAGAACTTTTTCCTCACAGTGCGTCGTCTCGAAATACTTGCCAGATAAATACATTTACTATTATGATGGTTTCGCGGGTACCAATTTTTCATAGATAAATAAAAATATTTTTTGTTTAATTTTTACTACGCTAATATCAGTTTTCTCTAACAAATAAATAACTTCTTGAAATAATTTTCAAGCTATAACTGCGAAATTGTTTATTTGTTTGTGACATTAAATTGTAATTTTTTTGATAATAATATTCTTATGTTATTTTAAATTTATTATAAATAAACACCATGGTGTTTTTTGCAGTCACGTTTCACAAATTTTTATTCAATGGGTACTATGTTTAGCTAAGACATATAAATTAAAAATGTGATTAATTCTTTTTAAAACATTATCTACGATAATCAATCTAAAAAAAGTATTCTGACAAAACTAATTTGAATGAAGAATAATGCATTTATTGTCAATAAACAACCCGTGGGCCGGCGCCACTGAATAAACATCGAAACTGCAGATTTCAAATTAGGAAGTCACGTAGGATCTGACATAAGCAGTGTAGAAAAGTAAGTGATACGTCCACTTCAAATCGCAGTATGCTTTAACTGCGAAAACAGCCTTAAAATATTTCAGTTATCTATCGTTTTTATTTATCGTCACGTCTCAATCGCAGCTAACGGTTGTCTGTCTACGTAACCATACTGTCCTTGACGATGTGCGCATGCATTGGAACGCCAAAAAATTGGTGTCTGTCGATATACATAAATATATCCTTATATATTTTTAGGTGAAAGATTGCATAAAAGGCGATACACGATATCTCGTCTACTAGATGATGAAGAGATTAGTGAATACTGGAAAAGAATTACTTGTATTTACAGTGAAGAACGGTTTAAAGTGTGGGATGCTTTACTAAGAGGACTTAAACACTATCATGAAATTTTAAAAGAACGAAAGGTTATGGCGAAAGAAGTGGTTGAATTAAGGAAGATAAATGAAAAATTAACGAAAAAATTGGCTAAGTATCAAGATCATAGTGTATTGTTACCTCCCATATGTTCCCATTCTATTCGCAATAAGTAATATTTGTAATCAATTAATACACGATTGTATAAGTAATTTATGATTTTTTTTCTATAGAATCAATATTTTTGTCGATCTGTGGATCGTTTTATGAGTTTAGTTTTTTGTCCTTGTTTTCCCTTTCCTTTTTCCTTTCTTTATGTTGAGAAAATTCTTTTGTTAAGCAAAAGACGTATTTGGTTGTTTTGGAAAAAATACTGAAACTCGTAGATTTAGTTTTTAAATGCAGATTCATCCTAAGAAACCTCTTGGCTATAATTTGATAACAGGAGAACTACTTCATAAGCTACCGAGAAAAGCAGCGGTGTTATTAATAATAATGTACTACGTCTTCGCTACTTTTCAATACAATGGAAATTTGCTCAAGTTACTATGATGCCGAAACCTGGTAAGCCCACAACAAAAGCAAATTCATATTATCCTATAAGCCTACTCCCAATAATGTCGAAAGTATTAGAAAGGCTACTATTACATAAAATCGAGCAAGTTGTTCCATAAACGAAATTATACCACAACACCAATTCGGATTTAGACGTGAACAGTCAACCATCCAACAATGCCACAGAATAAAATTTTTGCGCTGGAGTATTTCTAGATATAGAACAGTCATTTGATAGAGTATGACATAAAGGTCTTCTCTACAAACTGAAATTACACCCAACAGACCAACTATACTTTATAATAAAATCGTATTTTACTGACCGTTACTTCCAAGTTAAAATTGAAGACGGCTACTCAAATTACCACAATCATACTGTTACGATTTTAAAATATCTCGTATAAAACTGTAAATATATTGTGACTAATTCTTTTATATTTATAGTAATTTCGGCGCTCATACCTGTACCTGCCGCCGGAAATTACTAGAGAATTCTCCAAAAGGGTCGAATAACCAAATAACAATAACGCAGTCGACGTGCCAGTGCTCTGCGAGTTTTTATTAGACGAGAAAACGAACGACTTTTCCTAGACTGGTTGAATGATTTACATAATGGATGGTACGTCATCAGAGGAATTCCCCAGACCCTTCTAGATAACTGTATTTTATATATAAATAACAGGACTTTCATTGAGCAGTTAGTCAAAAAGAAGATCGCGATCTCGCGTTAAAATGTAACGAACGTATAAATTATTTAAGTGTAAAATAAATTAGTAGGAAATAAAGACTTTTGATAAATTATCGTGAGTTAGAATAAATTAGAATAAAGACAATAAATTGGAACTATAAAAAATAGAACAATACAATCTGACGTACCTCAGGGTAGCGTTTCTCATTTCTGTATCTGATATTTACAGCAGACTTTCCAACCAGCTATGATACATTCTTAGCTACTTTTACCAATGACAAGGAAATATTGGCAGCGGATGTCGACCCTAATGTAGCATCACAAAAAGTAAAAAATCATTTAGACCAATTACAAAACTGGCTTAAGCGATGGACGATCAATGTTAATGCCAGCAAATCAGTACAAATTACTTTTTTCCGAAAAAGCTGTAGTGATAGTAATTTAAAAAATAAAAATGCCAGAAAATAAAGGAGATCAAATTAGCCAAAGAAAAATGGATGAAAGAAGGTGCGACGAAATGGAGGATGTAATATCTAAACACAACTTCTTTAATGTACACAAAAAACTGAAATAAATGAGTAATATATTTAAAAAACGAGTTCCTTCTGTACTTGTTGATACTAATAACAAAATTATTGTAAATGAGCAAGAAATAATAAAAGAATGGCAGCTGTATATATCAGAGTTGTTTGAAGATGGCAGGAATAATATTGCCGAATTCTACCAAAACTGTACTGACGGCCCAGAAATTATGAAATGCGAAGTAGAACATGCTATAAATAATGCTAAAATTAGAAAAGCTTGTGGTCCAGATGATACACCAACTGAGTTGCTGAAACTAATAGAGAATGATAACATAAAAGTAGTAGTAAGACTTTTTAATTCAATATATAACACCGGAGTGATTCCCGCAGATTGGCTCAAATCCATTTTTATCGCAATACCTAAAAAACACAATGCAAGAAAATGCTCAGAATATCAATTAATTAGCCTCATGAGCCACACTCTTAAAATTTTCCTCAGAATACTTCACACCAGAATTAGACGCAAATGCAAAGAAGATCTTGAAGATACCCAATTTTGTTTTAGAAATGCTATGGGAACCAGGGAGGCACTTTTTGCGCTTAACATCCTATTACAAAAATGCCGTGACCACAGAAAATATGTATTTGCATGTTTCGTGGACTTCGAAAAGGCATTCGATAAAGTATAGGACGTAAAATAATGCAAATACTGAAAAATATCGGAATAGATGACAAGGATATTCGTATCATTAAAAAATTGTACTGGAATCAAACTGCTATCGTAAAAATTGGAAATAGCTACACCGATGAAATCCCCATACAATGAGGAGTCAGACAAGGTTGCATCTTGTCGCCAACATTGTTCAATGTTTACTCGGACCAGTTGTGTAAAAAGGCACTTGAGAGACAACCCATATGGAATAAAAATCAACGGGGAAGTACTTAATGTAATTAGATATGCTGACGATACAGTAATTCTATCAGATCATATTGAAGATTTTCAAATTGCTTGTTCGTATTCACGAGGTAGGAGAGGAAATGGGCATTAAAATAAACTCAAACAAAACCAAATTTTTAGTGTTTATTCGTGACCCACATCCCGATGCAAAGCTTCAATTGAACGGAGTCCAAGTTGAGAAAATTTACAAAATGACATATTTGGGAACTGTGATAACGGACCAACTAGATCCAGACTTAGAAATAAAACGTAGAATAGCAATGACTAAAACTACTTTTAGGAAAATGAAGTCATTTCTTTTCAATAACCATCTCAGTTTAGAACTAAGGCAAATAATGGTTAAGTGCTATGTTTGGTCTGTACTTTTGTATAGTGGAGAAGTGTGGACGCTAAAAGTATCGATCATAAACAAAATTGAACCATTGGAAATGTGGATTTATAGACGAATGCTGAAAATACCTTGGACAACAAGAAACACTAATGAAGAAGTACTAAGGAGCGTCAACAAAGACAGAGAACTGCTAAAGACTGTTAAACATCGAAAAATGTCTTATCTGGGACACATAGTAAGGGGAAGTCGATATAAAATTTGACAACTGATCCTTAAAGGCAAAATAGAGTGCCGTAGAGGTGTAGGAAGAAAACAAGTTTCTTGGTTAAAAAACATTCGTGAAAGGACTCAGATACCAAATGCAGGACAATTATTTCATATTGCAGAAGATCGTGAAGAACGCGAATAATTTTGATATGGCACGCGAAGAAGAAGATAATAATTTAAAATAAATTTTGTGGAAGTGTTGAAAACAAATGTTTTCACTATTTTATTCTTGGAAATGTATTGTCACATTTTTAATACTCGGTAGGAAACCTTTACCTTTTGCCTTTCATTGATGGTCGATAACACATCCGTTCTATCTCAAAGCGTTCTTTGTATATTTTAATAATTTATTTTTAGTTTTGTATACTCGAGTAGCATGTTCTGCTAAGATTTTTATAGCTCCTCAGTTTAGTTTAGAGTGGTGATTCGAGACAAAAATACAAGTTGTTAATAAGTAGCTATCAATGTGTTTGACTCAATTTTTATTTTTACTTGATTTTGTCTTTCTTATCTTGCCAAATACTTTTTTAATACCAATTTTTTGTTCCCATAACAACCTAATGCAATTCACGAAAAATAAAACATGAATTTTTTGAAATTATATCTGCCGGTAAAACACTGTTGGTGGAATGATTCTTATTAACTACCCAGATAAAAAATCGATAGTTATTGCAAGCGGGATTGGAGAGTTTAACAGAGTAATTGGCACCACCAAAGAATACAAAGCCACGGGATGGTGCGCAATTCTTATCGTCATATCGCGTAAATTGAAATTCATTCCTAAAAGTTCGCCAAACGATCTCTCGCAACTTTAATTGTATTTTAAGCGGAATACGGAATTGGTCGGTTGTAGTTGTGACAGTTTCATTCTGGTTTTAGTGAAATGGTGCATGGTTTAGGAGGATTTTCCATTTTTGAACATTAATTGAAAAGCGCCAGCGTTTATTTTTAAATCGGTATACTCGACAGAGCGGTTATCGCCGACACTTTCATTCTATGCTTTTGTTATAGCTTTCATATTTCAGCGTTATTCGACTGTGGATTTGTTCACAGTAGTGAGTAGTGAGTAGTGCTTGTGGAAATATGCTCCAAGATAAAATTTATAGTCTAAATGTATTATTTCGTTAATTATTTCTTTTTTAATTGCAACCTTTTTAAATTTTAAATGTGATATAAATTACATTTAATAAAATGAACTCACCGTAAATATTCACCCGTTGTTGAGCAAAGGTAATGAAATCTTTATTACGCTTCAGATATTCTGCATTTTGTTTTGTTAAAAAAAACCAGATGGCTGTAGAAGAATAGCTATTAAGGAGACGCAATAAATACATTTCTCAAGTTGAATATAACTAATAGTTTTTTCAACAAATGCATAAAGTGATATTTTTTCAGGAATAAAAAGGTTTCCAACACCGGTCCGTCAGGCGAGTCCGTATGTTGGTAATATATATTTAATATATCCGTAGATATTTAATTGACATATACAGTGTGTCCGTAAAGTATGAAAACCAATTTGATATTTCCTAAATGAAAAGCCTTTTTTAAAAATTTAAAACACGCCGATTTTTAAGTTTAATGTTCTACATTTTACAATAAAATTTCATTATACAAAATGATACACATTAAGGTGATGACGTTATCGGTTCTTTTTTTAATGGAACACCCAGTATTTTAGGATATTTTTAGATCGATAAATAGTAGGCAGTAAACAGGGAAGTTAAAACACAGATCAGAAAGATAAAGCATAACGAATGGATGACGGACGAAATTATGGATCTAATCGAAAAGCGAAGGCAACATAAACAACAACGTAATCAAGACAAATACAAACAGATACACAAAGAAATCCGTCAGAAAATTAAGAAAGCAAAAGAACGTTGGATG